TACCCTGTCGATTCCCATGAGAATCTTGAATGTGGTGATTATGTCCCGTTAACTCTTCTGTCTTCCAACGAAGTGAGGTTTAATTCCCGTAGTCTCTCCTCATAGCTTATACCTCTCAGCTCGGTTACTAGTCTGGTGGCAAGCCTTTGAACCTTTTCCAGTTTAGTCTTATGCTTGACTAGATATGGACTCCATGCTGGAGCCGCATACTCCAGGACTGGTCTGACATATGTGGTATATAATGTTCTGAAAGATTCCTTACACAAGTTTCTAAAGGCCGTTCTTATGTCAACCAACCTGGCATATGCTGCTGATGTTATCCTCTTGATATGAACTTCAGAGGACAGGTCTGGTGTGATATCAACCCCCAGGTCTTTCTCTCTCTCTGACTCTTGAAGTATTTCATCTCCCAAATGATACCTTGTATCTGGTCTCTTGCTTCCTACCCCTATCTTCATTTGCTTGGGTTAAACTCTAACAACCATTTGTTCGACTATTCCTGCAGCTTGTCTAGGTCTTCTTGAAGCGTCAAGCAGTCCTCCTTTCTCTTAATCCTTCTCATAATTTTGGCATTGTCTGCAAATATTGAGAGGAATGGATCTATACCCTCCCGGAGATCATTTACATATATCAGAAACAAGATAGGACCGAGTACAGAGCCCTGTGGGACTCCACTGGTGACTTCACGCCAATCTGAGGTCTCACCCCTTACCATAACTCTCTGCTTCTTATTGCTTAGGTACTCCTTTATCCACTGGAGCACCTTACCAGCTACACTTGCCTGTCTCTCCAGCTTATGTACCAGCCTCTTATGCGGTACTGTGTCAAAGGATTTCCGACAATCCAAGAAAATGTAGTCCGGTCAGCCTTCTCTCTCTTGCTTAATCTTTGTCACCTGGTCGTAGAATTCTATTAAGCCATATCAGGCAAGATTTACCCTCCCTGAATCCATGTTGGCAATATGTCACGAAGTCCCTTCTCTCCAGATGTGTTACTAGTTTTTTTCTCATGATCTTCTCCATTACTTTGCATGGTATACTAGTCAAGGACACTGGCCTGTAGTTCAGTTCCTCTTGCCTGTCGCCCTTTTTGTATATTGGAACCACATTCGCCGTCTTCCACATTTCTAGTAGGCCTCCCGTCTCCAGTGACCTACTATACACTATGGAGAATAGCAAGCAAAGTGCCTCTGCACACTCTTTCAGTACCCATGGTGAGATACCGTCTATACCAACAGCTTTTCTAACCTCCAGATCCAGCAGGTGTCTCTGATCCTCACTCGTAATTTAGAGCCCTTCCAAGGCCGCCTGGTTTACTTACCTTTCTCCTAGCACAGTGACCTCACCTTGTTCTATTGTGAAGACCTCCTGGAACCTCTTGTTGAGTTCTTCACACACCTCTTTGTCATTCTCTGTATACCTGTCCTCGCCTTTTCTAAGTTTCATTACCTGTTCTTTCACTGTTGATTTCCTCCTGATGTGACTATGGAGTAGCTTTGGTTTGGTCTTGGCTTTGTTTGCTATTTCATTTTCATATTTTTTCTCTGCTTCTCTTCTCACCCTGACATACTCATTCCTGGTTCTCTGGTATCTCTCTCTGCTTTCTGGTATTCTGTTATTCCGGAAGTTCCTCCACGCCCTTTTGTTCAGTCCCTTTGCTTCCATACATGCCCTATTCTTTGGAGTCTTCTTTTGCTTCTCGGATTTTCCCTTTGGGACGGGATGAACCTGTTTACTGCCTCCTAACACTTTTGGGTGACATAGTCCATTATATTTTGTACAGACGTATCTCTGAGGTCTGTGTTTCAAGGTATTTTCCTTAGGAAACGTCTCATCTCCTCATAGTTCACATTTCGGTATGCCAGCCTTTTGTTTCCTAGATCTTTTTTGGGGGGGAGATAATTCCTAGCTCTACCAGGTACTCAAAGTTTAATACACTGTGGTCATTCATTCCCAAGGGTGCTTACATCTTAACTTTCCTTATATCCCACTCATTTAGGGTAAATAGTAGATCGAGCATCCTCTTCTCCTCTCATTCTTGTTGGTTCCTTGATGTGCTGGCTTAGAAAGTTTCTTGTTGCCACGTCCAGCAGCTTAGCTCCTCATGTTTCTGGTACTCCATGCGGATCCCTGTTCTCCCAGTCTATTTTCCCGTGGTTGAATTCTCCCATGATTAATAGTCCAGATCCATTCCTGCTGGCAACAGAAGCTGCTGCTCTCTATTATGCTAATAATGGCCATATTGTTTCTATCGTATTCCTGTCTGGGTCTTCTGTCATTTGGTGGTGGATTATATATGACTTCAACTATAATTTTTTGTCCTCCAGTTGTTATCGTACCTGCTATGTAGTCACTGAAACCCTCACAGCCCTGAATAACCATCTCCTCAAAGTCCCAGCCGTTTCTTACCAGCAGAGCTACACCACCTCCCCCTCTTCCTGCTCTCTCTTTCCTCATAACATAATATCCCTGTGGGAACACTGCATTTGTTATGTTTTTCGTTAGCTTTGTTTCTGAGTGCTATTATGTCTGGGTTTTCCAGACATAATAATGTGTGTGTGTGTGTGTGTGTGTGTGTGTGTGTGTGTGTGTGTGTGTGTGTGTGTGTGTGTGTGTGTGTGTAGATCACAAAGAAATAAACACACAAGTGGTAGTGGCGGAATAAACCATGATCATGGTGGTCTCTTACAGATAGCTACACCCAGGGAAACTAGAAAAGCAGCCATCCTACAAGCTAGTGGACCTTCAGGGGGGTAATAACGCAGATGAAGCTGGACCTCGAAAGAGATACCAGTGACAGAACACGCTGTAACCTTTCCAGGGAAGAGAGAGAAGCTTTGGCCGCCCTAAAACGACAGTCAGACATCATAGGTAAACCAGCTGACAAAGGAGGAGCGGTCGTCGTATGAAACAGGACCAACTACATGAGGGAGATGGACAGGCACCTAGCGGATGAGGTTTCATACCACATCATCGGAGACCAGGCAGCAGCACTCAGAAACGCGCACACTAGAAGCAGGCGAATAATCCTCAATAATCCTTTTTTCGAAAACGACACAGGAAATGAAAGGGGAGGTCTCATACAAGCAAAATTCAGACTGTTACACCACTTTCTTTTCGGAAATTCCCCACATGTATTCCCTATCAAAGATATACAAACAACCACACCTGGACACAGGAATAAGGCAAGGTAGACCGTTTTTAAGCATCTTCAAGTTAAGGCACCCACGAGGTCGGTGGACTGGATTAGTACAGCCCTGCTGAACCCTCTACTACACTTCTTACCAGAGAGACTACGTGACACAATGGACTTCCTACGCAAGATACAAGACACTGAGGGCAGTATGCCAGAAGGTGCTCAACTTTTCTCGATGAATGTGGTATCGTTCTACCCGACCATACCACAGAGGGAATCGGCCAGAATAATGGCTGATTTCTTCAACGAGAACAAACACAAGGTAACCACAGAACTAAAGGAGGCAGGAGTCTAAAGGAGACCACGGAGGGATTTCATGGAAGAAGCAATCCTCCATGTGATGAGAGACACCCTCCTACAGTTCGAAGGACAAACTTATAGACAGATAAAAGGCACATCCACCGGGGCTTCCAGCAGCGTGGCGATCTCCGAGATATTTATGCATGTGGCCTTTGAAAAAGCAAGATCCCGGATGACCAATGCACCGCTAATATATTACAGATATATTGATGACATTTTTAGTATCGTGGCCACCAGCGAGCAACATCTACACTTTCTTTGCCAGGGCAAACACAGCCACGACAACTTGAAATTTTCATTACAACATAACAGTTCAACAATAAATTTTCTGGATACAACAGTGTTCATTGACCACACGAGGTGGCGCCTCCAAACGAAGGCGTACTACAAACCAACAAATCTCCATACTTATTTGAAATTTGATTCACGTGACTCAGCAGCTCTGAAGACTTCCCTGCCATTCTCTCTAGGCCTCCGCCTAAAGAGAAGAAACCTGCCCAGCAAACAAAAACAATAACTAACAAAAATACAGGAGCAAACTAAGGTGTAGGATAGACGCTGAAATTCACCAACTAACTTTACTACGTTTGAAATAACTAACTTTTAAATCTCATGAAAAATCACGTTGATAGTACCGAAACTACACCTATAAACGTTAACAGGCGGGACAAAGAACTAACATCTGAAACTGACAAATACTTCACACACTCCTCATTAACATATCTCCTGACTATACTCTAACCCTAAAATGGGCTATACCCCCCCCCTCCGACTATACTCTAACCCTAAAATGGGGTACAACATAGCGTTGATCAAATCCACGATGGCTGTGACGAGGGTTCGAACCTACGTCCGAGAGGATTCCAGACGCTGCCTTAATCGATTGAGCTACGAAATGGTAAAAGACTTTACTTCTCATTATGGCATAGTGTTACCACGTCTGGCATGATGTGGCATGAAATTGATTGGCATGAAATGTCAATCAAATCCCATGTGGATTTGTTCATTTGATGCATTACGCTATTGTGATATCTGTGTGTAATAGCGATGATATTTCCCGGTCTGACTCCCGACACAAAATCCACCTTAAAACGGGGCAAGGCGCAACGATGACATTTTCAAAAATCCAATGTTGTCGCTATGCTTTCTTTCCCTCTACTGACTATGATGTACTCACTGCTAGATGATGATGTACTCACTGCTAGATGAGGATGTACTCTGTTAGATGATGCAGGACCCACAGGTAGACTATACTATACTCATAAGTAGATAATGCATGTCTCACAGGTAAACTATGCTGTACTCACTGCTAGATGATGCAGGACCCACAAGTTGACAATGCTGTACTGACAAGTAGATAGTGCAGGTCTCACAGGTAAACTATGCTGTATTCACTGCTAGATGATGCAGGACCCACAGGTTGACAATGCTGTACTGACAAGTAGATAGTGCAGGTCTCACAGGTAAACTATGCTGTACTCACAAATTGATGATGCTGTACTCACAGGTAGACTATGTTGTCGTGGCCTTCGATGGGCATCTCCTGTAGGGTCACGCTGAGGTTGTTGTTCGCCAAGATGCTGATGAGATGAGAAGTTAGACAAAAATTACTCCGAGTGTGTGTGTGTATTTACTATTTGTGTCTGCAGAATCGAGCTATTAGCTCTTGGATCCCGCTTTTTTAACTAATAAATTTTCTTCTGTTATATCTACTACATATATTTTTCTCTAACACACGCCACACACACACACACACACACACACACACACACACACACACACACACACACACACACACACACACACACACACACACACACACACACACACGTGTGTGAGTGTGGTCAACAGGGGCCAGGTGGATAGGGCGCAGGACTCGTAATTCTGTGGCGCATGTTCGATTCCCACACCAGGCAGAAACAAATGGGCAAAGTTTCTTTCACCCTGAATGCCCCTGTTACCTAGCAGTAAATAGGTACCTGGGAGTTAGTCAGCTGTCACGGGCTGCTTCCTGGTGTGTGTGTGTGTGTGTGTATGTGGTGTTAAAAAAAGTAGTTAGTAAACAGTTGATTCACAATTGAGAGGCGGGCCGAAAGAGCAAAACTCAACCCCCGCAAACACAACTAGGTGAATACAGTGAGGTGAATTTGGTGAATTTTGCGGATGACGCAAAATTAATGAGAAGAGTTGTGACAGACGAGGATTGTAGGATCCTCCAAGAGGACTTAAACAGGTTGCAGAGATGGTCAGGGAAATGGCTACTGGAGTTTAACACCAGTAAATGTAAAGTTATGGAAATGGGATCAGGTGACAGGAGACCAAAGGGACAGTACACAATGAAGGGGAACAGCCTACCTGTAACGATTCGAGAAAGAGACCTGGGAGTGGATGTGACACCTAATCTAACTCCTGAGGCACATATAAATAGGATAACGACAGCAGCGTACTCTACACTGGCGAAAATTAGAACTTCATTCAGAAACCTAAATGAGGAGGCTTTTAGGGCGCTTTACACTGCCTACGTGAGACCCGTCTTAGAGTATGCCGCGCCATCAAGGAGCCCCCACCTGAAGAAACACATAAAGAAACTGGAGAAGGTTCAGAGGTTTGCGACGAGGCTTGTCCCAGAGTTACGAGGGATGGGATATGAAGAGCGTCTGAAGGAACTGAACCTTACGACACTAGAGAAAAGAAGGGAGAGAGGAGATTTGATAGGGACATATAAAATACTTAGGGGAATTGACAAAGTGGAAATAGATGAAATGTTCACACGTAATAATAACAGAACGAGGGGACATGGGTGGAAACTGGAAACTCAGATGAGTCAGAGAGATGTTAGGAAGTTTTCTTTTAGCGTGAGAGTAGTGGAAAAATGGAATGCACTTGGGGAACAGGTTGTGGAAGCAAATACTATTCATACTTTTAAAACTAGGTATGATAGGGAAATGGGACAGGAGTCATTGCTGTAAACAACCGATAGCTGGAAAGGCGGGATCCAAGAGTCAATGCTCGATCCTGCAAGCACAAATAGGTGAGTACAAATAGGTGAGTACACGTGAGAGGGTGAGACCTCAGATTGGCGTGAAGTCACCAGTGAAGTCCCACATGGCTCTGTACTCGGTCCTATCCTGTTTCTGATAAACGTAAATGATCTCCCAGAGGGTATAGACTCATTCCTCTCAATATTTGCTGACGATGCCAAAATTATGAAAAGGATTAAGACAGAGGAGGACTGTTTGAGGCTTTAAGAAGACCTAGACTGATGGAATGGTATAACAAATGGTTGTTAGGGTTTAACCCAAGCAAATGTAATGTAATGAAGATAGGTGTAGGGAGCAGGAGGCCAGATCCAAAGCATCATTTTGGAGATGAAACTCTTCACGAGTCGAGTGAGGTGGGAGGATATAAGGCAGAAGGAGATGAGGGAGAGAGATGAGAGAGATGAGAGAGAGGAGAGGAGAGAGAGAGAGAGAGAGAGAGAGAGAGAGAGAGAGAGAGAGAGAGAGAGAGAGAGAGAGAGAGAGAGAGAAAGAGAGAGAGAGAGATAGAGAGAGATAGAGAGAGAGAGAGAGAGAGAGAGAGAGACTCTGACTGACTGACTGACTTTGGGGTTGATATTACGCCTGACCTGTCCCCTGAAGCCCATATCACGACGATAACATCAGCGGCATGTGCCAGGTTGGCCAACATAAGAACGGCATTTGGAAACTTGTGTAAGGAATCATTCAGAACATTGTATATTACATATGTCAAACCAATCTAGGGGTATGCAGCTCCAGCATCGAGTCAAATTCAAATTCAAATTCAGGTTAATTCAGGTAAAGTACGTACATACAAGGTGTGATACAAATATTGATGAATTTATAGATAGACATAGTACATACAATGCCTAAAGCCACTATTACGCAAAGCGTTTCGGGCAGTCCATATCAAGTCAAGCTTAAGACTAAACTGGATAAGGTTCCAAGGTTTGACACTAGACTAGAACCCGAGCTGAGAGGTATGAGCTACAAGGAGAGACTACAGAAATTAAACCTGGTGTCGCTGGAAGACAGAAGAGTTAGGGGGGATATGATCACCACACACAATATTCTCAAAGGAATTGATAGGGTTGATAAAGACAGGTTATTTAACACAAAGGGCACACGCACTAGGGGACATAGGTGGAAATTGAGTGCCCATATGAGCCACGGAGATGTTAGAAAGAACTTTTTTAGTGACATAGTGGTTGGACAATGGAATGCATTAGGAAGTGATGCGGTGGAGGCTGACTCCATACACAGTTTCAAGTGAAAATATGATAGACCCCAGTAGGCTTAGGAACCTGTACATTAGTTGATTGACAGTTGAGAGGCGGGACCAAAGAGCCTGAGCTCAACCCCCCACCCCCGTAAGCACAAATAGATGAGTAAAAAGAGGTGAGTACACACTCATCCCCAGGAAACCGCCCGTATAAGCTGTCTAGCTCCCAGTTACTTATTTACTGCTAGAACAACAGGGGCATTGGGATGAAAGAAACTCTGCCCATTTGTTTCCGCCTCCGCCGGGAATCGAACCCGGGCCTTTTGAACTCCGAGCCCTGTCCACTCAGCTGCGAGGTTCCCTCTGTACTCACCTAATTGTGCTTGCGGGAGTTGAGCTCAGGCTCTTTGGTCCCGCCTCTCAACCGTCAATCAACAGGTGTACAGGTTTCTGAGCCTATTGGGCTCTATCATATCTACACTTGAAACTATGTATGAAGTCAGCCTCCACCACATCACTTCCTAATGCATTCCATTTGTCAACCACTCTGACACTAAAAAAGTTCTTTCTAATATCTCTGTGGCTCATTTGGGCACTCAGTTTCCACCTGTGTCCCCTTGTACGTGTTCCCCTTGTGTTAAATAGCTTGTCTTTATCTACCCTATCAATTCCCTTGAGAATCTTGAATGTGGTGATCATGTCCCCCCTAACTCTTCTGTCTTCCAGTGAAGTGAGGTTTAATTCCCGTAGTCTCTCTTCGTAGCTCATACCTCTCAGCTCGGGTACTTGTCGGGTGGCAAACCTTTGAACCTTTTCCAGTTTAGTCTTATCCATGGCTAGATAATGGACTCCATACTGGGGCTGCATACTCGAGGACTGGCCTGACATATGTGGTGTACAAATTTCTGAATGATTCCTTACACAAGTTTCTGAATACCGTTCTTATGTTGGGCAGCCTGGCATATGCCGCTGGTATTATTCTCTTGATATGTGTTTCAGGGGACAGGTCTGGCGTGATATCAACCCCCAGGTCTTTCTCTCTACCTGACTCTTGAAGAATTTCTTCACCCAGATGACACCTTGTATCTGGCCTCCTGCTTCCTACACCTATCTTCATTACATTAGTTTTGCTTGGGTTAAACTCTAACAACCATTTGTTCGACCATTCCTTCAGCCTGTCTAGGTCTTCTTGAAGCCTCAAGCAGTCGTCCTCTGTCTTAATCCTTCTCATAATTTTGGCATCGTCAGCAAACATTGAGAAATGAATCTATACCCTCCGGGAGATCATTTACATATCAGAAACAAGATAGGACTGAGTACTGAGCCCTGTGGGACTCCACTGGTGATTTCACGCCAATCTGAGGTCTCACCCCTCACCGTAACTCTCTGCTTTCTATTGCTTAGGTACTCCCTTATCCACCAGAGCACCCTACCAGCTACATCTGCCTGTCTTTCCAGCTTATGTACCAGCCTCTTATGCGGTACTGTGTCAAAGGCCTTCCGACAATCCAAGAAAATGCAGTCCGCCCAGCCTTCTCTTTCTTGCTTAATCTTTGTCACCTGGTCGTAGAATTCTATTAAGCCAGTCAGGCAAGATTTACCCTCCCTGAACCCATATGGGCGATTTGTCACGAAGTCCCTTCTCTCCAGATGTGTTACCAGGTTTTTTATCACAATCTTCTCCATCACCTTGCATGGTATACATGTCAATGACACTGGCCTGTAGTTCAGTGCCTCTTGCCTGTCGCCCTTTTTGTATATTGGGACCACATTCGCCGTCTTCCATATTTCTGGTAGGTCTCCCATCTCCAGTAACCTACTATACACTATGGAGAGTGGCAAGCAAAGTGCCTCTGCACACTCTTTCAGATCCCATGGCGAGATCCTTTCTGGACCAAGAGCCTTTCTAATATCCAGATCCAGCAGGTGTCTCTTGACCTCCTCTCTCGTAATTTCGAACCCTCCCAATGCCGCTTGGTTTACTTCCCTTTCTCCTAGCACAGTGACCTCACCTTATTCTATTGGGAAGACCTCCTGGAACTTCTTGTTGAGTTCATCACACACCTCTTTGTCATTCTCTGTATACCTGTCCTCGCCTGTTTCAAGTTTCACTACCTGTTCTTACACTGTTGTTTTCCTTCTGATGTGACTGTGGAGTAGCTTTGGTTCGGTCTTGGCTTTGTTTGCTATATCATTTTCATAACTTTTCTCTGTTTCTCTTCTCACCCTGACATACTCATTCCTGGTTCTCTGGTATTTCTCTCTGCTTTTTGGTGTTCTGTTTTTCCGGAAGTTCCTCCACGCCCTTTTGTTCAGTTTCTTTGCTTCCATACATGCC